GTTATCATTCATTTTCATTTTTTTCTAACGAACTTAGATATTAATAATTTAATAATGGATATGACAGTAGACGAAGTGAAATCACGAAACATGACTATATAACTGAACTAATGTCAGATGATAATGACTAAAGGCAACGTGTAACTCTATAAGCAAGGAATGTTTACAAGCATTAATCTTTTTTTTTTTTTATAGAAACAAAAGTGCTACACAAAACGAGGGGTAGGATGCCCCACAAAACCAATAGAAGCTAAATCACTAGGAAGGTACAAAGATTGGGAGAAATGACACCACTAGACAAAGAATGAGCCTTGTTCACCAGCCAATCCATTATTTGGTTTGCCTCCCAATACACGTGCCTATAGAAAATTCTATCTTCCATCTTTTCCTTCATTTGCTAGCAGCTTGAAATTACGTTCCTAAGATTCCAAGGAGGAGGGATCAAACCTTTGAGACAATTTATAACTAGATTAGAATCCCCTTTAATAGTGGTTGAGAACTCGCTAAAGTTCATAGCCAAATTATGAGCTTCCCACGCCGCCATGCCTCTGGTGCATTAATAGAAGAATAACCCAAGTTATAAGCTTTATAATCCAAAACCTTGCCCAAATGGTTTCTTACAATAGTTGTAATAGTACATGCAAGAGCCATTTCTAGCGCAAGACGCATCAAAGTTAATTCTAATTTCACCCAGATTTGGGGGAACTCAAGAAACATTTTTTTTTTTTTTTTTTCTTAACATCTTTTCTATTGTCTGGTTCCCCACTAACCAACCAAAACTCATTAAGAGATTTAAAGGCCTTGTTGAGAATAATTTAAGGGAGGTTCTCCTTATTGTTGAAGGTTTTTTTATTCCTATTCTTCCAAATAAACCAAAGGATGAAGGCACATTATTCTTTTAGATGAGTCTATTCAATTACATCTTTATTATGGATTTCAATCCACCACTCTTCCAAATTCAAACTAGCCCAATCTAAGCTAGCAAGGTTAATATTTGACATCTCCCAAATTTGTTTTGAGATTGGGCAATCAAAGAAAATACGATGGATGTCTTCCATAGAACCACACCAACTACAATCCCCATCAGTGTTGAGACCTCTCCTTCTAAGGAAATCCTTTGTTGGAAGTCTGTTATTTAGGAAGAGATATATATATACCTTTATTTTTGGAGGACTTTTAAGGTTCCAAACTAATGAGTTCCAATTCAAGGGGTTAGCATGAGGGCAACTCGCCCCACATCATAACTTGTAAGCTGATTTCAAGGAGAAGTTCCGACTGAGGTTCAAGTACCACACTATATTTTCCTCCTTATTGTCCATAGGAATAAAAATCAATTTGATTTTATTCCAAATATCAAGAGGGACCACACTTTAAATCTTATTCTCCTTCCACACTCCTCTTTCTTTAACAATAAAATYACTAATAAGATCATTTTCAAGAGAATCCTGAGAAGGGTTTCTATAATTTAATAAGGTGAAACCGCCAACCCAAGTTGTCTGTCCAAAACCTGATAGAGTCCCCGTTACTAGCAACCCATTTGAGACCCAATTTTAGAAGCTCTCTAGCATTAAGAATGCCTCTCTAGGCCCAAAAGGATCCATTCCTTTTCTTAACCTCCCACAAATTTTCCTTATTTAAATAATCTTCCAACCTAACTTAGCAAGGCTTGTTTCATTAAACCACTAAGGATTCCTTAACCCTAGGCCACCCCAGCTTTTAAAAGTATAAACTTTTTTCCAAATCTTTAAATGAAAAAGGATTTTTACCCCTTGAGTTACTCCAAAGAAAATTTCTCTAGGCTTTTTCAATCTCCTCAATAATATTGTTGGGGAGCCTAAAGAACCTCATAATGAACTAAGGCATCATAGAGGTTACAAAATTTAAAAGGGTTAGCCTCCCAACAAAGGATAGGGTATCTTTTTTTCCATCCAACAAGTCTTTTACTCGCTCTATCATTCACAAAACAAAAGATGCTTTTTGTGACCCTTGAGTTAATAATTGAAGCTCCTATATAAAAATTTGATTCAGACCGAATGTGGATCTTTAGAATCCGAGCAATTATTTTTTGAAATCTATTAGGAATATTCTTAGAAAATTGAATTGTTGGCTTGTTGAAATTTGGGCTTTGACTCGAAGCCCTAGAAAACTCATAAAGAATTTCTTTAATCCTCAGGCCTGTAGTAATTGTGGGTTCAACAAAAATAATGCAATCATCCACAAATTGGAGAATAGGAATTTTAGGGCAACCCTTAGCGGCTCTACACCCAATTGGGTTCACACTAGTCTCCACTTCTTTCCTAAGCTTTCTATTTAATGCCTCAACTCACAAGACAAAACTGTAAAGGGAGAGAGGATCACCCTGTCTTATACTTCTAGAAGGGGTGAAACCTCTAGAGGGAGCCCCATTTATCAAAATTTGATAGGAAACAATTTTGACGCATTCCATAACCCATCCAATCCACTTCTCGTGAAAGCCAAATTTCCTAAGAACTTCTTCAATGAAATTCCATTCTAGCCTATCATAGGCTTTTTCCATGTCGATTTTACAAGCCATGATTCCTTTCCTCCTTTTTTTCTTTCTCACAAAGTGGAACATCTTATGAGTAATCAGAATATTATCATTTATTTGTTTATTTGGAACAAAGACACTTTGGAAAGGAGAAATAACATTACATAAGCTGATTGGTCTATAGTTGCTAACGTTTCAGGATTATCAATCTTTGGGACTAATGTTATGAAAGTTTTATTCAAAATGGGACACAATTTCCCAATATGAAAAAAAGACTTCACTGTCCCACAAAAATCCTCTTTAATAATATTCTCAAACTTTTTAAAGAAAAGAGCATTAAGTCCATCAGGCCCAGAGCTTTAAGATCTCCAATAGACTGAAGGGCATCATAGATTTCTCTATTTGTCACATCCCTAATGATGCTCTTGTTTTGCTTCTCAGATATACTCCTAGTGGCATCTTCGATAAAGTTATCAACCCCAAAAGTACCTTCACTTTTAAATCTATCCCCAAATTCCTTACAAAAATAATTTGCAATAGGAAGGTGATTTTCGATTTTCTTTCCATCTCTATTAGTAATATAAGTAATTCTATTTCTTGCTTTTCTAATAGTAACCGTACCCTAAAATAACCTATTAGTTTTATCCCCAAGCTTAATCCAATCAATTTTGGACTTTTGAGCCCAATAAGTTTCCTCCTCCCTCATAAGAATATTATTTAATTGTTTATGAAGGGCCTTATCCAAATTATTCAAGGCTCTATTGTTTCCATCATCAACCAACCTCATTTGCACTTTTTCAATCTCCCTAACAATTTCTTGTTTTCTTCTTGAATATATTACCAAAGTGCATTTTATTCCAATTTTTCAGATTTATCACTAAATTATTCCTTAATAAATTTCATAGCTCTAGAACCATCCGTCTCTACCTTCCAAGCCTGGTCCACCAAATCCTTAATATTTGGATCGGGGTACCACATTGCCTCAAAGTGAAAGGGCTCCGGCCCATAATTCTTCTGACAATTGGTAATCATCAGCAAAGGAAAGTGATATGAAGCCATAAATGGGAGGTTTTTGAGGATGGCTTCAGAAAAAATTACTCTCCACTCCTCATTAGCAAGAGCCCAATCCAAATGCTCCCATGTAGATCTATTTTTTCAAGTAAACGGATATYCTTTCATTTAGGCAATTACAATTAGAATAGGCAATTTATCCAAGTTTCTAACTTTCTATAGTCTTTTACACCAAATAGGCAACCCATTAGGCAATTACAATTAGAATTCAATTAGGTGTCCTTTTGTACAGGAGCAAAACCGAAACCGACCGAAACTGACCCAACCCGACTCAAACCGATTAGGTCGATTTGGCCTATCAATGAGTCGGTTTCGGTTTCCACCTCAGGTAACCCGACCAGGTCGGGTCAGTTGGAAAAACCCCAATAAACCGACCCAACCCAACCCGACCCGTGAACACCCCTACTTTCATTACAATTTCCATCAAATCGTAGTAAAAAAGGAGGTCACTGAATGGGTTTAACTTCTTGACCTCCTTTCTTTTTCTCACTAACCCTTAATAAATTAAAATCACCTATAAGCATCCAAGGACCATCATACAATCAGCAATTTCTCTAATCCAATTCCAAACTATTTTTTAATCAGTTTTATTTGGAGGAGCATAGACAAATGTGCAATTCTAAGAAAGGTTAGACGAAACTTCTTTTATGTTAACATGAAAGATCCTGTCATTAGTCACAATAATCTGGAGATTACAAGTATTTTTGTAAATTCATTAATTGACAGAAGCGGCAAATGAGCGGTGTGGGGTGTCTTGACTCTGGAGCTATGGGGATGGGGTAACGTGTGTTACGAGATGAAGGAATCGTGAATCCATGGTCTGACGATATTTGTTGAAATAAATTCATTAATTTATTCGTAGGGTGATGAAAAGCACTCGAAGCAAGCAATATTAATATTGTATCAGAACCCAAAACAAAGTTACTTTTAAACATCAATTATTTGCTCGTTAATTACTAAAATATTCATTTCAAGTTCAAGTTGACAAATTCACCCCTTCAACATTCGCTACAAGAGTTCAAACTTCTAACCCTGCAACCAAGTAAACAACCAACCACTCACCCGGTCGAATTAAACAAAAGGAAAGAAGGAAAAATTCCCATTGAACGGGGGAGGATATCTGACTCTGACTGCGTCAACAAAAATATTATATCTATGTGTTGAAATTGTGGCAAGACATCTTAATTAAATGGGACATTCCTATCCCTACCTGCAATTCAAACCGTACATTAATTCACCCCCACCCCCCTAATGCATCCCTCACGGCCGGAGATAAAAATGTACCCAATATCAGCATAGTCTGATTTACAGTGTAGTAATGGTGATTTTTTTTAATACATATCATTTCTCACCGTTCAAGTACATAGTCCATTTTAATGGTGGGTCCTGATCAAGGAAGCTTATGTATCCTATGCTTGTGTCCATAGTTTTCAGAGGATATATTCTATGCTTGATGATGTTCCAAGGAAGCTTACCCCATTAATTAAGCCCCTCTCCAACAATATTAATTCAGACAACACAGTGAAAGAGTCCATTTCTGCTCCTCTTTGTTTCTCTACTTCCCATCTTTCTGCTCCTGGCTCTCTCCTTCTCTCAAGACTGAAGCACCATGTTCTATCTCAAAACCATAACTAAAGTGCTGCTGTCTCTTCTCCTAACCCTCTTGACCCTTTTACTGATACTACTCTCCTCAGTAAATCCGATCAAAAAGGAACCAAAGTCCATCAAAATCCCACCATTGCACCTTCACAAACATCTTCAGATCGCCCATTCAGCTTGTGAAGGTACCTTATATCCAGAACTCTGTGTGTCAACTGTCTCTTCTTTCCCCGACCTCGCTTCGAAAACAATCCCAGACATCATCTCTGCTACAGTCCAGCACACAGTCAATGAAGTCAGAACATCTGCTTCTAACTGCACTGGCMTCCGAATGAAGCGCAGAACACTCGACCCGCTTCAACAGATGGCTCTGGATGACTGTCTCGAACTTTTAGACGAGACTGTCGCTGAACTTAAAAGCGCTCTGTCCGATCTGTCACCGAAAAACTCACCTTCGAGGCACTACAATGATTTGGGAACTCTGTTAAGTGCTGCAATGACGAATGAATACACCTGTCTTGATGGATTCGTTCACAGTAAGGGCAACGTAAGAGAAGAGATCAAGCAAGGCTTGTACAACATAAGCCACTCGGTCAGTAATTCTCTCGCCATGCTTAAGAAGATCCCAAAGTCGAATAGAAGCTCCAAGGCTGAGGTGTTCCCAGAGTATGGCAGAATGGTGGGTGGGTTCCCGAGATGGGTATCGCCTAGAGATAGAAAGCTTCTGCAAGCATCGACCAACACGACGAAGTTTGATTTGGTGGTGGCTAAAGACGGAAGTGGCAACTTCACGACGATCAGCGACGCGGTGGCTGCGGCCCCTAATTCGACTACAACCAGGTTTGTGATTTATATAAAGGCGGGGGCTTATTTCGAAAATGTGGACGTGGACAAGAAGAAAACGATGCTGATGTTCGTCGGAGATGGGATCGGAAAGACAGTGGTGAAGGCTAATCGCAGCGTGGTTGATGGTTGGACCACTTTCCGATCTGCCACCGTCGGTAAGTGTGGACCTTTTTCTGACTTTTTGTCTCTCTTATTTTCCTTTGTTTTATTTAAATTTGTCTTTAAATTGATAGATCGTAAATCACGGGGTCATGTTACCTGTTAAACAAGAATCCGGAGCCAAGGGGCTCCATCGCAAGGCCGCAATCGCTGAAACACAGTTGGAATCGTGTCGATGGAAGAAACTGTTTAATGACGACAGAGAGTTGGTGAGGGTCCACGTTATTGGACGAACCACTCTGTGCCGATTGTTCTAAGTCCCTTCCTAAAATCACGTCGTAGCTTAAAGTGGAGAACCACTTTATGGTAGGGTCCACGGCTTAACGAGTTAAACCACCATTAGGATGTAAAGCCAAGGATCAAATGATTTACTTGAAAGCCACGGTATAGCAATATATGCTCCGCCAGCCCTAAGGCCCAGCCCATTGTTTTTCTTCTACATCTATAGTCTTAAGTTTAAAACCTAGAACTTCAGATGTGCTTTTTTCTTTTTTTCTTGTTTTTTTTTTTTTGAAACTTTAGATGTTGGGATTTGGGATTTTGGAAAGCTGAACATATGCATGTTGCGAGGGTTTTTGGCTTTTCGTAGCACTTTGGCATGGAATTAGGTTGAGAAAGTAGGTTGGCCGGTCGAGCTGCAAGAAGAGTGATTATAGTGTTCGAGTTGTTTTATTCGGGGTGAACACTTCGATGCTTAAGTCAGTGATAAGATCTTGGAGAGCTATAAAGAAAGAGCTAGTATGTGTGAGAGGTAAATCACATGTACATTTTTTGTGAATGGGGATGCCTTTATATAGGCTAGCTGCCATGAGACTCACGAAGCGCATTCGAGATCTTTGATCTGTCTGTTTTGGAGGTGGTTTTACGTCTAGAGATAGACTCTGTGTAAGTGGATAGTGTCTATCCAGTTGCRTCCGAAGCAGGTGGGGTGATAATCGGCTCCTCCGTCGTGGCGTCTTGATCTGGGGGAAGTCGGAGATGATAACCCACTGAACGAGGAGGTTGCCCAACATGTCAGGCAAGTCACTAGCTAAACTCGGGCAAGGTCGATGGAAGCCTGTTGCCTCTTACACCGACCTGAAGTCTTGTCAGCCATTAGAAGTTCGGTCTACTGAGGTGGTGCCGATGTCATTAAGGTAGGTGCAAGGTGACCGAGACACTCCCAAAGTCTGCTTACGTGGTGCTGAGATATCGCTTAAGTATTTTAAAGTGTCACGTGTCATCACATCACTAGAGGGCCAAATCGCCCTTAAAGAATTAGTTTAAATTTAAAACAACTATATTTTAATTACTTAAGGAATTAGTTTTCTTTTAAGAAAAAAAAAAAGAAAACAAAACATTACTGACGCTGGGGCACGRAACGTGGTGAGTGATGACCCAGGCAGGACACATGAATAACGCAGTTTTTGTCTTGGTATTTTCTAAAACTTTTCTTCAAATTCATCTCTCTCGGGAATGAGTTAATTTAAGATATTGCAAGTAGGAAGTATGTTCCTGGAGCTTTGAGAGGATGGGACTACGTGAAAACATCAGCACGTGGGTGTCGGTAGTGTTTCCCGTGATATGTATGAATGTCTCTGGTCCTTTAATAATAATACTTAATAATCTAATAATAATCACCGTCAAGAAAAATATATAATACAATAATAATATGCTTGTCAGTTGCCAGCTTCTGGGAGGATGCATTCTGCCCCCTGTAAACCACATCCTGCCCGTGAATTTGACATCAATTCACGGTCAAGATGCATTCCCCCTGTACTTTGGGCCTAGTAAATTTTGATCTGTGCTGATTGGTACTTCTCCCTAATAATAAATCTGTTGGCAAAAATGTATTGTCCATCCATCCGATTTCGTAATAGATTTTAGATTGAATTCGGATTTTTTTTTTTATCCTGTGCTATGCATCGTTACAACTTCCCCTTACCCTTTTTTCTCAAATTGCTACACAAATCAGTTAACACGCTAACTCAGGGGTGGGGTGTTCTGTAATGTGGATGAAAAATTGGTAGGTATAAAAAGTTTCATACCATACTCTGTGATAGGGGCTAATTCACACCACAGCATAGTTCATAGTTGTTCTAAACTGTAGATAAAGTTAGTAGACTGGACCAGTCCACACCTACAATGGCGTTTTTGTAGGCGTGGTGTGGACCAGTCCACACCACACTTTTTGATTCCATATATCTCATATATATTTATAAATAATCTACACCAACATTTTAAAAAATGACCCAGAAATGGAACCGTTCTGACCACTGATTTTCGGGTCGATGGTCCGACCATCCGATTTGAATGGACAGTCCATTCTGACATACAAATTAAAAAAATAATTAAAAATAAAAAATGGTAAAAAACCGTTGAACGGGTCTTTGGTTTGACTGCTCGGGTAAATGGGTTGTTGACTTTTTCAACGGTTTTTGGCCAAAAAGCAGGTTTGGGGTAAAATGGAACCACTTGCCTGGACAGTTCCCGGGCTGAATGGTCTGACCGTCCGGTTCAATGACGGTTCGGAAACCTTGATTTACATAGTTAATCATAAATAACTAATTTTTACATTTTATATGATAAATATATTGAAAAATGCATCAATGAATTAATATTAACCAATAATTAATAAATATTAGTTTTTTTTTATAAAAACAATAGTAAAATAATTAAAATTTTAAAAAATATATTTTAAATATTTAAAATATAACTTTATTAATATAACATTAAAATTAAAAATTAAGTAAAATAATTAATATTTTGTTGACAAAAATATTAAAATGTAAAACAGACAATAGGGTAGCCTTTTAGGGAATGTGTGAAGTAGGGGATCAAAAGTCAAGTGTGGATGGTCCCTAACCACGAGATTTTGCTGTGGATGAGAAATTGGGGTGTAGACGGGACCTGTCCACACTATATTGGGGTGTGGACAGGACCGGTCCCGTCCACACCCAGCCAAACGTGACCAAATCCCGTGGAACGATCCCGTTCACGAGATTTGCGCGGTTCCAAACACCACCTCAGTCCTCCGTTCGTTGATTGAGTTCGGATTAAACCGTATTCATATCGTCTTTATAGTCACTTGCAATAGTACATTGGGAATATTTTTGTGCTTGTATATTTTTATTAATGGGGAAATATTCTCAATATACAATTGCAAGTGACCATGAACATGGTGTTTGGAAGCGTGGGTGCCTTTTGGGACCGATTTTCAAGAAAAAATGCCTATGTTTCCAAGACCTGTTTTTCACAAAAAAACGCTTCTGCCATGTAGGCAGTGAGCAACACTATGCTGTTTGGTAAGGTGATTTTCATCACCGTTTTTCATGTATGTTTTGACGGGTAAGCACCACATATGATACACATTAGTCAACCATTGGGGAAAACGGTTCACCGATACATCGGTGGGGTCCCGATTTTTTAATAATCGGATAAACCAAACAATGAGATACATGGGTGTTTGTTGAAACGGTTATGTAGATCCAATGTGACATCGTTGTTTTGAAAAACGGCCACGGTTCCAAACATCCGCAAAGATGATGTGCATGGTTTTGTGATGACTGAATTTGATCTTGTTTAGATTGGCATCCCACAGGCATCTTACATGCACATCTCATTGGGAACATCTTTTTGTGTTTATCATGTGGAGATATTCCCAATATATGATTGGGATATTCTGCAGGGCATCCATGTCATTTCCCTCACACTCTCTTTTTAACATTTGCAAGTTGCAACTAGCTAATAACTATGCATATCCATATTTAGGGTGCATTAATTTTTTGGATTTTGAAAAAAAAAAAGTTGATCATTTGTAAAACACTGAAAGTTATAAGATTAAGAAAGTTTATTTTCCTCGGGATTTACCTTTTTTATTTTTTCCTCAACGTTTATCTGATAAATAAAAAGAGCATGATGTACCAACGGAGTCATGTTTGAAATGATATTTGCTCCTCATAATGCATCTCACATCAAACTCACAGTACGCTTCAACGGTGCATTGGGAACATATCCCCTTATACGACAACTTACAAGTACAAAACGATTCCAATTAATGTATGACTCCAAGGTATTGTGAGGTTGGTGTGAGACATTTTGTAAGGAATAATCTCCGCTGTATATTTTCACTCAAGAACCTCATTTATCCAGTGATACCCAAGGTAACTTCGTTTAGTTGTTCCATTGCACTTTAATTTGAAGGAACCATCGTTATCATCATCATCATTAAACCCTCATCTCAATTATATGTAATGAAAATTTATTCATTATTAAGGCCCCATTTGGTTCATAGGAATAGGGGTTTGGAATCAGAATTGGAATAGGCTATTTCCATTTCAATTGTCTGATTGGATAGAATTGAAATCCCATTCTTATTGTTGTTGGAATGGTATTTTTTTATTTGAAGGAATAATCATTCCTTATTCCTCCCTTGAGAATGAAATCTCATTCCTGCTAATTTTAATTTTCATTGGTATTTCTGTCTGAAGTAAACAGATTATGGGAATAGGTCATTCCGATTCCAAAAATTTTGATTCCACTTCCAACTGTAAACCAAACGGACCCTAAACTATAAACACCTAAATCATTTCTTACTATTTTAATCTGCCCACTTCCAACTTGCCACAGAGTAAAACATTTGAGGAACCTTTTTAGCTAGCTAATTAAGTCAGAGTYCCGGTGAACTGGACTGAACATTAGTTACAATAACATCACATAATTATTAATTTTACTTACACATGGGTGAGGCCAAGTGGCCAACTGAAGAAAGGAGAAAAGGGGGTTTCAAAAACCATTGATTTACGACTGATTTACCGCGCGTCTTGTTGATTATTTTAGAATGAACACTACATCATCCATCCCTTTTGATTTGTTTCTACTTTCTACAGCTGTGGTGGGTAATGGATTCATTGCTCGAGATATGACCTTCGAGAACTCGGCTGGACCCAATAAACATCAAGCAGTAGCGCTAAGAAGTGGTTCAGATCTTTCTGCATTCTATCGCTGTAGCTTCGTGGGTTACCAAGACACTCTCTATGTACATTCTCTACGACAATTTTACAGAGACTGCGATATATACGGGACGGTCGACTTCATCTTCGGAAATGCAGCTGTGGTTTTTCAGAATTGCAATCTGTATGCTCGTCGCCCTAACGACAATCAGAAGAACATTTTCACTGCACAAGGACGACAAGATCCAAACCAGAACACCGRCATTTCCATCCTCGACAGTAAAGTCACTGCTGCATCCGATCTCATTCCGGTGAAATCATCGTTTAAGACATATCTTGGTAGGCCATGGAAAGAATACTCCAGGACAGTTTTTCTACGTTCCTTTCTGGATGATCTAATTGACCCAGCTGGATGGTTAGAGTGGTCGGGAGATTTTGCACTGACCACCCTTTATTACGGTGAGTACATGAACAGAGGTCCTGGTGCAAATACATCTAGTAGGGTCTCATGGCCTGGTTACAGAGTTATCAACAGCTCTACAGAGGCAAGTCAGTTTACAGTGGCATCTTTTATACAAGGGAACGAGTGGTTATCATCTACTGGGGTACCGTATTTCTCTGGTTTAGCTTAAACGAGCTAGATGTCAAAATTTCAGGACTTGGGCTTCCCTTGAATGAGTGCAATCTTGAATCTTGTTCAGTTGATATTTGGACTTACATGGACAAGAGGGTTAAGTCTTTTCCTCAATAAAGTGATGGTGGCGGATTTATCGACTTTTACTTTGAAAAGGAGTGGAGTAAGCTACTCTATATGACCTGCGATCGAAATTTTCATTTTAGCAACTGTTCTAAGTTTTATATTGTTCAGTTCTTACTGGGTTTCCTTTTGTCTACTTGTTTTTCATTGAACAATAATCCAGATTAGAATTTTGCGACCTTCTGTTTGTTGATATTCGCTTAGTTATATTTTGCATGTTCAGCAATTTAAAAAATCCCCATTCCCTTCACTTCTGCCATCCTATATGCCCATTACTCTTTTTCTTCGTTGTAGACTAGAGCGAACAAACATCCCTCTCCATGGTATAAATCACTGTTTTTAAAACCGGACCGGACCGGATGGTCAGACAGGAAAAATCGGGAACCAGTCGCCTGACTAGTTTCGTTTTTCTCCAAAACCGTTTTTTCCCCAAAAACCGTTGATTTTGGTCAGAAAACCGCTGAACTGGTCGGTTAATCGTTCGAACGGTTTTGACCGTTTTCCAATTTTTTAATATTTCTTTTTGTCAAAACGGGCCGGCCATTCGGGTCAAATGGTTGGACCGTTTGAACTGGTAACCGGACCCCTAACCGGTTCGTTTTTAAAAACCATGGTATAAATTCAAATGGAGAACGAGAGAGAAGCAACAATGGCTCAATGAAGATCCTCCTTCTCCCATCTGGGGCCCGGATTCCCTCCCCATAAAACTCTGTATGCTCCTTCAGGCCCAACTTTACACTGTTTCGGGTTTGGTTCAAATTTTGGAAAAAGCCAAAGCCTGAGCCCGACCTATGAACAAGTCTAATTGAGAATATCTCTCCACAAGTATCAAATTCATGAGGAGATGTGCCCAATGTACAAGTGAACTCGTGTACAGAGAGTTCAGATCTACGCCCTACAATGTCCCTTAGCACATCTCCACCGTGTATTGGGAGCATCTCCCGATGATGACATCATCTGTTCTGATACTATCATCGGGAGATGTTCCCAATACACGGCGGAGATGTGCTGTGTGACATTGTGGGGTGCAGATGTGAACTCATGTACAGAGAGTTCAGATCTGGGGAGATGCTCCCAATACACGGTGGAGATGTGCTGTGTGACGTTGTGGGGTGCAGATGTGAACTCATGTACAGAGAGTTCAGATCTGCACCCCACAAGAGGGTGCCCCACAATGTCCCATAGCACATCTCCACCATGTATAGGGAGCATCTCCTAATGATGACATCATCAGTTCTGATACTATCATCAGGAAATGTTCCCAATACACAGCGGAGATGTGCTGTGGGACATTGTGGGGTGCCCCCTTGTGGGGTGAAGATGTGAACTCGTGTACAGAGAGTTCAGATCTGTGCCCCACAATGTCCCATAGTACATCTCCGCCATGTATAGGGAGCATCTCCCGATAATGAAATCATCAGTTTTGATACTATCATCGGGAGATGTTCCCAATACACGACGGGGATGTGCTGGGGGACGTTGTGGGGCACCCCCTTGTGGGGTGCAGATGTGAACTCGCGTAAAGAACCCACCTCCCCAAACAAAAAATAGTAAAACTACTATTAGTTTTATGGGTGCACTATGAAAGAGATCATATTGGGCCTAAAAGTTCAAAACCCATTTGTGGACACATTGAGCCCAAAAGTCTAAAACCAATATGCATTATAATAGGGTTTGGTTCGCTTTGTGGCCATTGCATATGGTAAGTTGGGCTCATGAGCAACAGTTAGGTTCAGATCATGGTTTTCAAAATCGGATTGGATCGGACGGTCAGATCGGAAAAACCAGTAACTAGTTATCCCCCCAGGTCCGGTTTTACTAAAAATCAAAAATTGTTAAAAAACATTGAAAAGGTCAGAAAACCGTTGACCCGGGCGATTGGACTGCTAAACCGTTCGATCCGGACAGCGGTTCGCTCCTAGTTTGAATCCCCTCCCTTTAGCTTTAGGGTTAGAAGTTCTAACCCTTCCTGAGTTCCCTCCTCTCAACCCTCACACCCTACCGACCTACCACCTGCGGCGGCCATCACCTCCGGCGTTCGATGGCGACACACATTGACCGATGGCAACCAAAGAGCTTGCAGCGGCAAAAAGACTCACTAGCACTTGTAGCGGCGCCCGACGGCGAAAAGACTCACCCTCACCAACACTTATAGCGGTGTCCAACGGCGAAAAGACTCACTAGCACTTGTAGCGGCAACTTGCAGTGGCGGACGATGAGCTTGCAACAGCTATCTTGCAAGTTTGCAGTGGCACTCGACACTCGACACTTGGCATTGGGCATTGGCGACCAAGCCCACTCTTTGTGAGTTGGAACAACACTTGTAGGCTTGCAGTGACAACTTGCGTGCAACCAAGCCTGACTGCCCGAGCCCACCAGTGGTGAACCCACTGTCACACCACCATTACCAGTGCCATTCTATTTCCAATAGCAATTACATTCTATGTCACATGGTGGTTTATACATTTTGTGGATGGATTTTTCTCTCCAATCTATGCCCAACTTGGAATCAACATCTTTGGTACGTGATCATTTTCCTGTTTTACCTCTATATTTTGTTTATTTTGGTGAATGCAAGGGGTTGGGTGTTTTTTGTAGTTTTGGTTTCTTGGGTTGAGAAATTTCCTACTTTACATGCAAGTTACATCAATGTTTTGATAATTTAGAACAGATGGAGATCTCTAACTATGGATGATCTGCATACCATAGTTTGAACTTTAATCTACAAGTTTGAAATCTAGTAATGGCCATGGAAAATTTTCTGTACTTTTTGGATTTTTTTTTCTGTATTATATTATTTTTATATTTAGATATTTTTAATTTTTCATATCTTGTTCTTTTTCCTGTATTTTTCTGTGTATTCTTTTATTTTATTTAAATTTTTATGGTATTTTTGTTATATATAAATATTTTTTGTTTTTTATTTATTTATGACATCACAGGTCAAACCATTTGACCCAAACGGTTGAACAGTCGAACCGGAAAAAAATGCCCAGAACGGTTCCATTTCCGGGTCGGTTTTTAAAACCTTGGTTCAGATAATATATACCTAGACTCAAATTCAATCTTAGTATTATTCAGATCTGAATCAAATCTTAGTATTATAAATTTATAATCAGAAGAAAGAACTAGAACCGACTTTGATACTATATGCTTGTATTTTGTCAGATTGAACCTAGGTTAAGTTTTGGAGGCTTAAAATAAGTGTTTATTACTCATTTTGGGCTGGGGCCACACCAATAAACACTTAGGGGGCATTCTCCCACCTAGAGGGAAAATTGCCAACACTTGAATGGGACAAAAATGCCCCTTTTAATAATTGATTTTTATGACTAAAATGGTCATTGCATTATTTACCTGAGAAATAAAAGAACATGGGTAAATACACTTAACCGGGTAAATGTTTCCCAACAAAAACTTACCTAGATAATTTCATTTACCCGAGTAAACAACTTACCGAAAAGCGAAAGAGGCCTTATTTTTGGGAAAAGCCCGAATAAATGCTTGTTCTCAGGAATTAGCACTTATGCGAGAAGCCCAAATTTTAGACTTATTTTAAATGCTTATTTCTTTTCCGACTTTTTTGTTCGCCTGTCACATCATTTTGAAAATACCTATACTATCCTTATTTGAAATAAGTAATTTTTTATCCAACACTCAATAAACACTTATTTTTAAGCATTTATTTTTCAAATAAACACATCCAAACTCTGCCCAAGTCGGATAAGAATCATAAGATTGAGGTAAATCCTACTTACTACTTTGGCTATGCAACAAGTTAAAAGGGTCCATTCAAAACAGTGATAGTTGGTAGTGATTCTATTAGTACTCAGAAGAAACTATTACTATTTGGGCCTGGTCTACCGCCCCACCCTTTAAGAGTCAGAGCCCATAACAAGCAATGTGTTGCATAGGATTTATCATTGGACGGGCTTTTTCACTTAAAAGGTGAGACGTGAGCCTTCTGCCTTATTAATTAAAAATTTAAGATGAGTATATATTCTGCAGTTCGTTTTTGTAGCACCCATGTCTCTTATGTTGACGGTTTAAAATTACACCACTATCCATGCACACCACCCATTACCCATGTCTCGTGAAATCTTTTTGTTCCTTTCTCTTTTGGGCCCAATCCATCAATACAAAAGCGCACTTCGTGATGTGAACAACATCTTTGTACACTAATAAATGGCAATTTGGCAAGTAGGCATTGGCAATCTCGAGCTGATACCATTCAACGGTGGATCCCAATCCTAAGCAGATAATGGACACGTGTGGCAGCCACGATGTGGTAACTGTGGTGCAACCGAAATTCACGGGGCCTAAAGCCCTAAATTGTTGAAGACTGAAGTCGGAGATATATAATGGTGATAATAAATTAATAATGATAAGAGGCAGTGAAGCAATGAGTTTTTTCCTTTTTTTTTTTAGGGTTGAAAGCTTTGATTTAGGGGTCTATTTGGTTTATAGTCGAAATCGGAATCCCTCGGAATATGATTTATTTTCATAGCTTGTTTGGTTTAGATGAGAATTGAAATGGAAATTGAAATTGACTGAAATGGTATTTAATGGAAATGAGATTTCAGTTCTACACTTTACCTATTTCAGGTAAATCAACGGAAATTAAGATTGTATTTGATTTAAAGGAAAGATAAGGAAACCTATACCTTACTTTTCCCTTTCTTTTACTACTTTTTCCTTCAAAACAAAGATAGTGTAATTGTAAATATAAGTGGGATGGGCCGTGGGAGAAATGAATGAAACCCACCACGACTCACACCATACCCTCGATTCTCGATAAAACAGCGGTATATCCTCTGAAGTCTGACCTCTGCAAACAAGCACGGAGGCACGCTGAATTGCAGAGCTGMTCAGCCTGTTACAGTTTTAGAACTTCCTTTGTTACAGGCTTAACTTAACTGCTCCTCTCTCTCTCTCTCATATGTGTCTGTGTTTTTGCATGTGAGGCATATCAGAGCCGCACATGAATCATAACCACAGGCATACGGTCAAATCTGAGCCATTACTTTCTGTCAAAGCAGAAAAGAATGAAAATAAGATGTAAAGAGTCAAGGCTTGGATTATAATTAATTATACATTGTCAAAGATATTTAATCCAATCCATTTCGGTATGTTTCATCAACTTTCAACACAACTTTAATGTGGTCTGACAAAAAGAAAGCCACTTTTTACTGACC